ATTTTTGAGAGAGAGACAGTGAGAGCAGGGGAAGAAAAGAGAGAGAGGGAGACGCAGAATACGAAGCAGGCTCCAGGCTCCAAGCTGTCAGCACAGAGTCCGACTCGGGGCTCGATCCCACGAACCGTGAGATCATGACCTGAGCCGAAGTCGGTTAGAAGTCGGATGCTCAACCGACTGAGCCACCCAGGCGCCCCTGTGTTTTGCTTTTTTTTAAGCAGGTGCCTCAGTTCCCGCCTATGACAGCCCAGGGGAAATGTGGGTTAAGAGAAGGCTCGAAGGCCTGCACCCCACCTGCCCAAACAGAACAACAGAGGCTATCTATCTTCCAACCACGGTTCTGGTTTTAATGCAGGGGTTCTTTCTAGCCACAGTGGAAGGGAAGAGGGACCATCAGGTAGACAGAATCAGGGCATGGTGGGAGGGAGCCAGAGACCCCCTCCCGGACAGTGCAGTGGGACATGTGATTGATCCCCTCCCCCCATGATCAGTAGGGAATCACTGCAAAAATATCTCCCTGTTCACAAAACTTAGGCATCACAGTGGACTTCCCCAGAACATAGTATTCACATTATTGAAAAGAGCTAGATTCACTTTTTTAAAAACACAGGGCTGAACACATAAAAATAAATAAGGGCATCCCAGGGTCCGGAAAGCCCAGAGCAATAGACCCTCCATTCTCAGTAGCAGGAGCAGCTTGGAGGCCAGAGAGGTTCAGAGTCTTCGAGGTCCAAGGTGGGGTCCAGGGGAATCTGGGCCCCTTGAGATGAAGTCCGATAGCAGCAGCCTGAGCCTTTTTGAGTCTTTTAGATCCCTAGCAGCGACTCCAGGAGGCTTGGGCCGGGTTTGGAGGACGGGAAAGAGGAGAAAACCTTCGAGGAGATAAAGGTTGGGTTCTCTTACTGTTGAGATAAATAAGGAAGGGGTACACGGTAGGAGACCATTCCCAGGATGCCCCAGGCACATTGCGGGGGCGCCACATTCCAGTTTTAGTGGTTGATGGGGATGGGACCTGTATCTGAGGAGTTTCCATCCCCACCTTAGCAGGAAGTCACCACGCACAAAACTTACTGCGAGAAAGGAGACTGGCACTGAGAGAGTGTTCTTTCCTGGTGTCTGTGGCCCTACTGTGTGAACCAGAAGCGGGCAACCCGGACTCTCGGCCACAGGCCTTCCCCTCCTCCGTCTACTAGCTTCCCCTCTACTCTCTTCTCTGCTCCATAGGGCCAAAGACTTGGAACCCTCAACGCACTTGACTTGCCCACTTCCCGTCCAGCCCTCTCTAGGGCTCAAGTGCAAACCACCTCAGCCTTCCTGGCCGGGATACTAGTCTTAGGAGGCAGGGGCGGTGGTGGTCTCCCCTCAGGGTGCAGCTGCATTTTAGAGCCTACCCAGGATGGGGCGGCGCCCCCCCCCCCAACCCTCAGCTGAGCTTTGAGCAGACCCCCAGTGCCTGTCGGTAGGCCTCTGTCACCTCCTGGCAGTCGGTCAGGGAAAAGCAGCTATCCCCCAGGGGGTCCTGCCACCAGCGCCTCAGGCCTCTGCTTCCAGGGCCCTCTGCGGGGGGCTCCTCAAGCCCCATGAGGTTGTCCACAGACACACAGCCCCGCAGCAGGGGCTCGGGGAGCCGTTCAGGCAAGTCCAGCTGGTCAAATGACTCAGAGGACAGGATGCTGTCCTCACTCATAGCCCCGGAGGGGCGGCCGGCCCGGGCCAGAGGGTGAGGGGAGGCCAGTTCATCCAAGGAGCCGAAGGTGGAGGGGGCTGGGAGCTCCAGGGCTGTGCGGGAGAACTTGCCATTGTGTTTGAGGATGCCTTTGCGGTGGAGGGGCAGCCCTGAGGCCTGGGGGGGCTTCTGCTCCTCAGAGTCCCCACTCACAAACACATCGCCGGCGTCCAGGAGCTCCCCAGATTCACTGGGTTCCGGAGAGGAGTAGTAGCCAGATTCCCGCTGCCGAGACTTCTTGAGGATGCCCTTCTTGGGGAGCAGGGGGGCAGCCTGCCCTGGGCTCGCAGGGCCCAGGCCGGGCTCGGGGTCTGCCCCTGCCCCTTCTGACAAGGTTGGCGCCTTCTTCTTGAGAATGCCCTTCGGCAGCTTGAGGTTGCCCCTGCCGGGGCGGAGAGAGGGATCGTCAGCCAGGTCCCCCTGGCGAGACTGGGCCATGTCGTTCTCTTTGCGGGACTTCTTGAGCGAATGCTGGCGTTCCAGGCCTGGGGCGATGCTCCCGCCTCCAGGCGCGTGCTGCTTGAAGAAGCTGCAGACCTTGGCCCCATTCTCCAGGAGCGGGCGAGAGGACCGCCGCAGCCAGTCAGCCATGGAGGCCCGGCCAGAGTCGCTGCCAGGGTGCCCGCCCTCGTGCAGAGCCTCCTGCTCCCCCACGCGGGTGGCGTAGCCCCAGTTGACCCACCAGTGACTGGCCACATCCTCCAGGGTGGCTCGGCGGGTGGGGTTCACCATCAACAACCACCGGATCAGGCCACAGGCATCTGGAAGGCGAGAGACAGGGGCTTCAGGCTGGCAGCCACGAGAACGGGCGCCCCACGGCCCCTCTCACTGGTTACCTCCATTTGCGCCAAGGCTTCTCAGTCCTGTGTCACATACGTCCCCTCCCACCTGTGCTCCGTACACGCCACAGCCCATGTGGCTCCCCACAGCCTCCAGCTTTCAGGGATTGACTCTGCCCATTTCTCCTTCCATCCCTCGACCCCCCAGGACCCTGGCCCCTTCTTAAAAAAAATTTTTTTTAATGTTTATTTATTTTTGAAAGAGACAGTGTGTGTGTGTGTGTGTGTGTGTGTGTGTGAGCAGGGGAGGGACAGAGAGAGAGGGAGACTCAGAATCCAAAGCAGGCTCCAGGCTCTGAGCTGTCAGCACAGAGCCCGACGCGGGGCTCGAACTCACGGACCGCGAGATCATGACCTGAGCCGAAGTTGGAAGCTTAACCGACTGAGCCACCCAGGCGCCCCCTGGCCCCTTCTTTAGCCTTGTTGTACGTTAGTGTGTTCTCCTTCTCTTGGCTGAATGCGACCCTGAGGGTAGAGACTGTGCTCAAGAGGAAACCAAGGTTCTCACACCCTGCTTCCTGCCTTCTCCACTGGGTGTGAAAGGACAAAGAGACTTCCAAGGATGAGGACTCAAGCAGGTGGAAATGAGGAAACTGCAGCAAAGATGGTCCAAGTTCAACCACCAGAAGCCCTTCCCAAATAGGATATAGCATCTCACAAAGGAGAGAAGAGATACCCCTTCCTTCTCGGAGGTCACAGACCCTGGAGGCAGAGAGACGACAGCAGGAGGGGGTGGTGAGGAGCTACCCCCCATCGACAGTGGGTCATCTTCTTTACTTCCCTGCCCCCACTTGGCTCCTGCCTCAGGAGCTAGGGAAGGACACACGGGGCCTGGATGAGAACACCCACGCCTCTCACTCACCAGAGGGTTTAAGCGGCTCCCTGTAGGACCCGTTGCTGATCTGTTTCACCAGCGTCTTATGGTCCTGCCCATCAAAGGGCATGGTACCATGGACCAGGATGTACAGAAGGACACCCAAGGACCAGCTGTCCACCTGAGGGAGGGCGGGCGAGAGACAGGGAGAGTGTCAGCAAGGATGCCCGCATGCCCCAGGCTGGCGGGCTTGTGGCGACACCAGAGAAGAAAGGGGTACGCGCTGGAGAACTCAGGGGCTGGGGCACCTGAGGACCACCTCCTTCTAGTAGTACCCAGGAGCAAAGCTGGTGACACTGTAGAAGGGACTGAGGTTCGTGAGGAAAGGTGTGGTCAGTTGCCTGCCCTTGGGAGGGGCAGCCACAGACCAGAGCAGTGGTGAGGTCACCCTTCTGGGCTAGGATGGGGTGGTTGTGAGAGCGCCCGCCTCTCCAGGGAGTCTGGGTGGGTGCCAGGAAAGAGAACAGGAACCCGGAGGGCGAGGGGGCACAGAACCAGACCAGGGGTCAGGAGACATAAGTTCTTGTCCCAGTTTTACTGCTCTTGTGAGGACCTGGCAAGTCACTGAAGGGCAGGGGGCTGAGCTTTGGGCTCTGGAAGGAGGGAAGAAGCTGGAAAGCTAGCCCACCCCTCTGAGAGGATCTAGAGCCACAGGGGGTGCCGAGGCAGGCCGTGGGTGGAGAGTAGAGACTCACCTCTGGGCCCGTGTAGGGTTTCCCGTTGACGATCTCAGGTGAGGCGTACAGGGGGCTCCCACAGAACGTCTGCAGGAACTCGCCCTGGCGGTAGAGGTTGGAGAGCCCAAAGTCTGCAATCTGTAGGGTCGGGTCAAACACAGGTGGGGGTCATACCAAGGCCTGGATTGTTCTGCAGCTCTTAGCCTGCCTCTCTCCCGATCCCAGGGGAACCCCGGCCCTCGCAGGAGGAAAAGCGTGCCCATGCCCCCTGCCCCCTGAGCACAGCTCAGGCCCTGCAAGAGACAGCCTTGCGGAGGTCATGTCCATGAGGAATGCCTAGGTGTGTGGGGCCTCCAGGGTCCTCAATGTTCCCCGGGCCCCTTTGCTCATGCTGTACCCCACTCCAGGGATGCACTCTCCTGCCTATAAACATCCTCCTGACCCGGCAAGCCCACCTCCCCTGACACCTCCTTTTCGCACAAAGCCCAATGGCTGGCTGTAGTCCCTGCTCATCAGTCATCCTGCTCATACTGTCCTGTCAGTATGTCCCCCGTGCTCACCTCCTTCTGCCCCTCCCCCTCCTGCAGCTCTTCGCACAGGTGTGACCCATGGATGGGACTCAACAGACAACTACTAACTGAAGAAAGGGTCTACCAGATGTACGGAGAGAATCAACTTCTCATGCTAACGCCATGGCCCTCAGAAGCAAGCCAGCCCCATCAGTGACTACCACGTGAGGCCTGGCCTGCCCTCCCTAACAGAGGGCTCATCTCTGCCCAGATCCGGGCGGGAACATAGTGGCAGGAGCCTGGGGTCAGCCCAGTAGAGCTAAGAAGCAAGAGCGAAGTCAGAACAAAGATCAGAGCTGTGGTCAGAGCTCAGGAAAGGGAATCTTCTCCCAGGACTCCCTGAGCCATCTGATACTGCGGGCTTGAGAGGCCCCAAGCCCGTCTTCTTACTTCCCAGGGAGACCCTTTCCCCTAACTGTCCTCAGATACAAGCAGAGGCCAATGCCCTGCTTCTCCTGGCCTCTTCACCCCCAGCAGAGGGTCATGTGTGCCCAGGGTGGGGAGGGGCTGTTTATGAAGCTCTGGTTCCTTCATTTATAGTTTTATTGGCCTCTTATCGAGCAGTTACCATTTGAAGCCCATAAAGACGCAGATGATTGATACAGATGGGAAGGTTCGTGCCTGTCTGGTTACGTGAGTTTACTGGCTCTGGCTCCCCTCCCCCTGCTTAGCATCAAAGAAAGCCCCACCCGGCTCCAGGAATTGGCTGGGTAAGGGGAATGAACTCAGTGCCAGGGTGCTTCAGGGCATGAGTTCAAGGGTCACGGAAGGGAAGGGACTGTGTCCTGGGTTCAGGAAGATTCTGAGGAGTGTCCGAGTGCAGGATCAAAGCCCTCCCAGGTACCTGGCAGGGGTCAGCCCTTGCCATTTCCCCCTTCTAGCCCCGAGAGCTGAGCTTCTCTCATCAGCATGAACCTCTCAGACCTAAGCTTAACCACTCAGGCATGGGAATTCAGAAGCTGCAGGGGGCAGAAAGCTGGTGCCGGGATGCGCGGTCTATGGAGAAAAGTACCAAAGGGCTACCCAACTGCGACAGATTAATGTGCGTGTGCACGTGCACATGTGTGTGCGTGCAGGCAGGTGGGGAGAACTCGGGCTGTGACCCTCTCTCCCTGCCAGTCCCAAGGTTATGTGCAAAGGCTGCTCCTGGATCTCGACTCCAGTTAGCCTTATGGACGTCAAGAGCACTGGCTGAGGAGTCAGAAGACTTTGGTTCTAGCCCAGGCTCAGCCACTCCCTTGCCATGGGATCTTGAGTAAGTCACCGCTTATCTTGAGGCCTCAGTTTTTCATCCATAAAAAGAGGTACTGGAAAGGATGACGGCTGAGTTCTCTACTGCTACCAACATCTAAGTCTCAGCTTTGCTCAACTCCTTCTGGAGTCCCCTAAGCACTTAGAGATAAACACTCGGCAGAAAGGCTGTGGCGGGGTAGGGAAGCTGCTGGAAACAAGTAGCGGGGCTCACCTTAATATTTCCATTGGCATCTAAGAGGATATTCTCCAGCTTGAGATCACGGTGGACAACCCCATTCTGAAAGAGAAAGGGCAGAAGGATGGTCAGGGAGAGGTCGCCACGGTGGGACAGGACGACACGAAGGCCTCGCCTGGAAAGTGAGGTAAACACAAAGGGGGCCAAGTTGGGGGAGCACAGGCAGGCGAGGGATACCCATCTCACTGGAACACAGCGCAACAGACACAGGCCCCTCCACTCCCGAGGGAGTCAGCCAGAGACGCCAACATCCCCGAGGCCCAGAGTCCAGATGGAATTTTGCCTCTGTTTCTGTCTCCCTGCGGGATCCTGGAGGGGTCATGGAATCTCTCTGGCTCAAACCAGCCCTGGAGAACCGGCAGGAGGTCGCTCACCTGGTGGCAATAGTGCACGGCCGAGACGATCTGCCGGAAGAAATGGCGGGCGTCCTGCTCGCTGAGCCGCTGCCGCTCACTGATGTAGTCGTACAGGTCGCCCCGGCTGGCGTACTCCATGACGATCACAATCTTGCTGCTGTTCTCAAACACTGGGGCAGAGCAAGGCAGGAACGTGAGGTCCCTCCAGAGTACACTGTTCCCCACTGGAGGGGTGGGGGGTCACACATGCCTCCCTGGCCCCAAACCAGACAGGACCTTTGTCCAGGGATGTCTGCCAACGGGACGGGACAGTGGCAGGTAAGAGCAGGAAAAGGGGCCTCTAAAGCTCCCACCATCTTCCAGGAACCACGAGGTAAGGCCAAGGGAACTGGCTTAGCCTCCTTCTCTTTGGAAGTTCAGGCTTTGGAGGAATCTTAAAACCACCCTGCAAATTTCCCGGGAAGGCAGGAATCAATGGATGAGAATGAAAAGTCAGGTTCTCTGCCTCAAAATCTGGTACTGTTTGGCCTTATGACCACGGGCAAATCTCTTCTAGATACATCAGTAAGAATACAGGTTTGGGGTTTGAATCCTGGCCCCATCACTTATTAGCGGGGTGACTTTGGCCAGTTTTTCAACCAGGGTGCCTCAATTTCCTCATCTGAAGAGTGGGATATAATGGCAGCCTCACAGGACTGGGTAAGAAATAGATGAAAGTCAGTGATAGCTCTGGGGCTGGCTGAGCAGGCGGGCGTAGGGTCTGATACAGAAACAAGCACTCGATAAATCGTACCTACTGTCATAGTTACGATCAGTATCCTCGCGCATAAACTTGAAAAATAATTCCCATAATAATGTTTGCCTTGAGGATCCGAAGAGGGATAAAAAGGGATGGGAAGGTGGCTTGTGAACTACACAGTACCATGGAAAGCGGAGATAAGATATCTATTACCCTCAGCATCTTTGACTTCCTGGCAATCAGCCTCCCCCAAGCTCACGTGCCACTCAGGCTTTGCCCTGGCTCTAGCCGCCTGGAAAGGTAGGGAAGGACTGGTTCACCAAACTGGCCCTTTGGCTGGGTATGTGTCAGAGCATGTATGTCCGTGACATTGCATCTTTGTGTCGAACGAGTCCTAGGAGTTTGGCTTGCTCAGCCAGCCCCAGAGGCACTGTTGTCTAGCCTGTGACAAGGAGCTGAGAGAGCAGGCTTCTCCCAAGAGGGATCCCAGGTGCCAGGCTATTGGATACATGGCCAGGAGCCAGCAGGATTGTGCTCTTTTTCCACTCCCACATGAGTGCGTGGACCTGACGCATGGTGGCCCAATCTCCCGGGGCCGGGGGCGGTACCTAGATGAGATCCTACTGCTGTGGTTCTCCATATGTCTGTAAGGGTGCGTACAATCTTTGTGTCATGAAACTGGAGGTCAAGAGCCAGCCAGAGTACATCCTGGAGAGCAGCTAGATTCCGAAGACTGGAGCCTTCCCCTGGTTCACATCTCCCGAAGATTGGCAGGGGACGAATGGGGTGGAGGGGCCTGCCTGTCACACAGTAACTGTGACACCCCTACAATAGCAGAATCTGAGGTGCAGGCAAGTCCACAGCCTAAGCTTCAAGACTCAGTTCCCAGACGTAGCTGGAGGTATGGGTGTGGGGGAGAATTCACACACACACACACTCTCTCTGCCCAATCACCAAGCTCAACCTGGCTTAACCCAGGTTGTCATCTACCCACTCTTCCCTGGGGGAAATACAGAGAGATACAATTAGCCTCCTCAGCCATTTGCCCAGGATCCCTGTGAGACAGGCTCAGGCCACGGGGCTCTGTCGGTGGCTCTGCTCTTAGTCTTTCCACGAACAGAACCCAAGAGAGGAGACTTCTGTCTTACTTCCCACCAGGAATATTCAGACAGAGGGCAAAGCCGCAGGCTTCCCTTCTTCCCTCCCTCCCTCCCGCTGCTACTGTTATGGCTGGTTTCTCATCTAACCGATATTATGTAAAGGCTGGAAGCAGACAGGTGTGCGTGGGAGGGTGCTCCCCCTCTTTTACTCATCACTCTCTCTTGCTCACTTTGTTGTCTGGGTCACAGGGAGCAGGGCAGATGGAGTAGAAAGCCGGCACTGATGTCAGAGCAAGAGGAGGCTAAGAAAGATGAGAAAAGGTAGGAGCCGGCCCCATGGCAGGAATGGTTCAGAGCCCAGGTCAGATTCTAGGAGGCCGGCTCTTGGGACGTGTGAAGGATAACACCCACGCACCCGAGACAGGTGCAGGTCTCTCCGTTCGTTCGTTCCAGCCTCCCCCAGGACGCTAAGGATCTCATTGGGTTGGGGAGGTAGTGTTCAATTATGGAAAACCTAAGAATAACAACAAGAAAGCCTACAGTCCACGGAGTTCCTCCCATGAGCTAAATACACAGTGACATTTAATTTGATCTTTGCAACTACCCTGTGATGTAGGTGGGACTGTCCTGGTCTACACATGAGGAACTGAGGTCCACCCAGAGGCTAATTAAATTAGTTGCCCAAAGTCATAGAGCTGGGTTTCAAATCCACCTTTTGTCCAACTCTAAAATCTGGGTCTTTCCCACTTCTTTGTGTCCTGTTCTGACTGCTCCTACACACACACACACACACACACACACACACACACACACACACACTGCTTTGAATGCCCTGCCTCTGTACCTTCGTGGATGGCAATGATGTGGGGGTGGTTGAGTGATGACATGATCTCAATCTCTCGCCGAATGTGCATCAAGTCTTGCTCATCTTTGATTCTGTCTTTCCGGATTGACTTGATGGCCACCTGGGAACAGAGAATGCAGGAGACTGAGGAGAAGGTTTTGGCAGATAAAGGCATCCGTGGATATTCTGGGAGTGCTGCCCCTGGCCACCTGCCGCTGCTAGAAGTCCACAGCGTGCACCCAGGGAAGCCATTCCAACCCTCACCAGGGCAGGTGACAGAGGGGCTGGAGAGCACCTTCCCTAGAGAAGGTTTAAACCTGGGTCAGGTGCAGTCTACACAGCAGGGAGGCGTATGGGCCAATGACCTCACCCAGAGTCCACAGATGAACAAGGAAAGTACAGCCTGCATCTGTGAGGCCCATGCTTTGTGATTTACAAAGCAAATTTACCATACGGCGCCATGATTACGATGGGGCTGGTTTTGCTCAGCACTGGATCCCTGAGGCCACGCGTCGTGCCTGGCACACAGTAGGCACTGAATAAGTGTGTGTTGCATTAGTAAGTACACTGGCCCTCCCAACAGTCCTGAGAGGCAGGCACAGAGTTTCATCGTCCTCATATATAGGTGGAGAAAACCGGTACCCAGAGAGGTGAAATGACCTGTTCAAAGTCATATTAGTTACTAACGGGCATAAGCACGAATGAACTTTGAAACCATAACGCTAAGTGAAAGAAGCCAGACGCACAAGTGCAAATGTTCAATTCTCCTTATACGAGGTAACCAGAATAGGCACGCGCACAGGACAGCAAGTAGACTAGAGATTACCAGGGTGGGGGATGGCAGAGGTCGGGGTAGAGGTGGGGGCGGCCGGGAGCTTAATGTTTAATGTGTCCGAAGCTTCTGTCTGGGGTGATGAAAAGATTTTGGAAACGGATAATGCTGATGGTTGCACAACACTGTCATTGTGCCTAACAGGTCACTGAGCTGCAAATTATATGTTCTGTATATTTTTCCACACACAAAAAAAAAATTATCAAAAAAACACCCATCCCTTCAGTCGAGGGCAGGAATGTCCCTCTCCTAGCAACAAACAAACAAGACAGCGTCCTCTGGTCTTGGCTATCACCGCTGCAAAGGTGAAAACACCATATAAGGAGTCAGCCCTCGGGCTGGTAAGTGCGGTGGGTTCAGGAAGGGCGGAGGCAACAGGAAATGGAGAAAGAAGTGCCAGATGCCATCGCTGGTAAGCAGGACTCTTAGCTGCTGAGGAGTCTCTGTCCTTTCCCTGCTCTGTCCCACTCAGCAGCCGCAGGGACAGAAAGAGGAGAGGGACAAGGGCCCTTCCGTGTGTGCAGATGGCTCGGGCCTGGGGAGCGCCAGGGGAGTGGGGGGGG